TGTGTGTGTGTGTGTGTGTGTGTGTGTGTATTAATTTATTTAACAAATCAGTATTCAAACCACAGTTATATATATAGAACTACAGAAAATATAGAAATTAATCATTGTAAATTATAAATTAAAATATGCATGAAAAAATTACATAATATTATAAAAATATAATTAAATAATTAAATGAAATAATAAATGATGACAACAATAAAAAAATGCACACGTCTTTGTGGCAAAATATATTTTTGATAACCCACCTCTAAACAGCACATATAAACAAAACTATCTGTGTTTGGCCATTTTAAAGGTCATTCAGAAAATCTTTCCTGTCTAAATGGATCCATATCAGTGTTAGAAATTGACTTTTGTAATATTTGCCCCTGGAATTTAGTCTTAGGAGCACATTTTTATCTCTATGAGGGTATTTTTGCATGGATTCCTTTCATTAAAAAAAGCTTAGAATAATTAGAAATACTTGATTTGAGTTATTGGGATTTTTACTCTGTTTGTCTTGTGTTTGTTTCTTGTGTCTATGTTGTCTTGTGTCAGCGTTTATAGTGCCCCTTGCCCTATTGTCTTTGCCGGTTCGTGGTCATTTTCACCCCTTCTCTCACTGTCTTTTTCTCTGTCTGTGGATGTGGCTGAGGGTGTGTTCTTGTCTCCCTGGTTGGTCTTGTGCCATTGTCTTGTCTAGTACTTTGTAGTTCCATGTTTTTGTCTTGCTCCTTGTTTTTGCATTTTGTCTGTTTTTGCCTTTTGTCACTTTTGTTTATTATTTATCCAGTTCTTCTAGACATGATCTTTTGTTTTGCATTTTTGTTTGATAATCTTTAAGTTAGTTGTGTTGGTTAGATTTGGTAATTATTTCTTATTTATTTAGTTTCTTTACTTTTTATCAGTTCTTTCGTTTTATTTATCCCCTTGCCTGTTTTGGAGTAATTGTGTTCCTGTGGAGCTTTGTCCTGTCTTGTTTCTTTGTGTAAGAGTTCCCGTCCTGACATGTGCCTGTGAGTCCTGCCACTGGTTCTCCCTGCCTGGTACTTGGTCCGCTTTAGAGTCAGCGTTCAACAAGTATCTGAGTTCAGCTCTATGGTGCCTTGCTTGGCCCTCTCTATCTGCCTGGTCATGCCGCTCCTTCTGCTGCTGTTGTAATCTGCCAGTTGCTGTCCGAGACTGTTCCAGTGGTCTTCCCTAGCTGTTTCTTTGTTTACTGTGTTCCTGATGTTGTATCACCTGTGCACCTCACTACCCTCTTGTATCAGTCTGTTTTGTCAATAAATCCTCATCACTCAATCTGCTAATGGGTCCTCCTGCCAGATCCCTGACAATTTAATTTAATTTAATTTGGGTAACACTTTATTTTAAGGTGACCTTGTTACACATGTTACATGTACTTACTATTGTAATAACAATTAATTATGCATAATTACGTGCAAGTAACCCTAAGCCAAACCCTCATCATAACCCTAACCATATAGTAAGTAGGCTACATGTAGTTAATTAATATTACTCAGTACATAAATATATAATTACACTGTAACAAGGACACCTTAAAATAAAGTGTAACCTTAATTTTTTGTTATATAAATTAAAAATGTATTATATAATAAGCATATACTTCAGATTTTTTTTTCTTTCCTTGTGATTAGGTGCAATATTTGCCCTGGAATTGATTTTTGGACTTTTTTTATTTTTTATTTGTTTATTCATTTATCCTAAATAACATGAAGCATTTGGCATTCTCTGGCATTTGACAGAGTGTGATCTTAATAGTCTTTGTTAAATTGTATTACATTTACAGCAACACAGACCTGTGTCGTTTTACCCATAAATACCGGCTCTGTTGAGATTTAATGTCTGCAAGGTTTTAGTGTTTTTTTTGTTGTTGTTTTTTATAAAATTCAGGAAGACATTGAAACTTTATTTATTTAATGCATGTTGTTGGAACAAGAAGGAACTGATGAGCCTTTCTTAGAGGAAAACTGCATTTTAGTTTTGGAACAAATCAGTCCGTGGAAATGCCATTGAAATACTCTGAAGTAGAGAAACTTGTCTTGGTTTGTGGAAGTGTAATCTGAAATTCAAATGTCTGCACTGTCATTGCCATTAAGTCTTTAAAGAAACTCTAATTTGAACCATCCATTTATGCTCCAGTCCCGTTTTTGTTTGATTCTTCCTTCATTTAACAAGTGTACTAAACTGTTTACTACATCAACTGTACTGTTTATTACATCAAGCATTGCACTTGCCTTTAGGCAGTGGTGGGACCTGATAGAGGCGATATGTATACGCCGTTCTTCACCTCGCTCGCTGTTCTACTGAAATCACATAATAAAATGCATCCAAATGTGCCTTGTTTCTGATATCCATTAATATGCAGTATCTTTGTTTATTGTACATGGACAAGTACTGTCTGTCTCTTTATCACTCTTTCTCCACGTACCTCAATGAATTCAAGCATGGTACTGTGATAGGATGCCAATTCGTGAAATGTCATCCCTGCTACATATTCCATGGTCAATGGTATTATTGGAAAGTGGAAGCGTTTATGAACAGTGGAAACTCAGCAGTGTACCGAGTGCTGAGGCACATGGTGCATAAAAGTCACCAACGCTCTGCTGATTCCATAGCTGAAGAGCTCCAGACTTCCACTGGCATTAATATCAGCACAAAAACTGTGTGGCGGGAGCTTCATGGAATGGGTTTCCATGGCCAAAAAGCTGCATGGAAGCCTCACATCACCAAGTACAATGCCAAGTGCTGTATGGAGTGGTGTAAAGCACACCGCCACTGGACTCTGGAGCAGTGGAAACCTGTTCTGTGCA